CCACCGGGCCGGCCCCATTGTTGAGGTCTTTGAACACAGTTTTAGTTTCTTGGTCAGTAAATAAGGTTTGCCTGACCCCAGGCATTTTAGAAAACCATGCCTTCTTTCCATATTTGTTTCTTATTTCATAATTCACTTGACCTAAGTGAGAGGGTGGACACCACATGTCTGGCCTTACAACTTTATTTGAAAAAATTGGGAATACCTAGTTAGGGTTCTGCTCTTATGTGTAGAATCCCTGATAACAATCGGTAGATTTTGAAATACTTTTGGTTCATTGAGAAAATGTATTAAAGAAAAAGCCTGTGGACAAGGAGAATTGTTCTACCAGTAAGTCAGTAGTCAAAACTCTCAAAAGTGTGGGCCCGTCAGTTACTGACAACGTGAAAATGAGCCAGCGGCAGTTCCAATACACCCAGAACCGTTTTATTTCTCTTTCTGACATTTACGTAATTTGTGATTGAGGAATTCACATCAATGATGTACTATCCCTGATCTGTATAGTTCTTTCATGACTTCATCTCCATTGAAACATCAATATTTATATCTACCTTGTTCAGTAAAATATAAATAGCCAACACTTGTATGAGAAATCAGCAATTCTTATAACAATACTAATTTATCTGGGTTGACAACTGAGAGATTGCTAGACAATCACTCTGTGATCACTAATCCGTCAGATAGTGTTACTAGTGATAGTATCGTGCATGGCTCTTAGAGATAGATCCCTGAGCAAAATTGCTTTGGCAGTTCCAGCAGAATTGCCCTTCATCAAGGGGAGAAAAAACATGATATATAGATAATTCAAAATTTTGTTTCATCTTCAGAATTTAACTTCAGGAATCAGGATGGCTTTCACTTGTTCATTTAGTCTTGATAAGGCTTTCATTCTAACATAATTAATTTTCTAACATTTAGCTTTATTTTTATAGAATTTTAATTGTGGGAGTTCTTATTCTATTTATAGACAGGACTGGCAATGGAAAAATATCTCAGAGAGCTCATATCATTAAAGAAAATTCTAATTGAATCTTTTTTTTTATATAGGTCTTTAGAGAAGTGAAACAAATGTTGTCCTCTTATTAAGCTATTACCTCACCTCGTTGTTGAAAACATGAAATGGCTGAGAGTTACATTATATCATTTTTATGAAATATTAGTTGTTGAAGAGCAAGTCTCCAGCAGGCACTCCGCGTTATTTTTTCCTATTCATTCAAATCCAAAATATTGCTCATCTAAACTTTCTCAGTTAATCACTGTTACAATAAGGCTGAGACTGCAAGACGCCCAGTAATTCATAACTGACTTGGGGCTTGTTCACCTTCAGGTCAACTATTCGGTTCCTGTGCTAGAGAATAGTAACAAGAAATCGTCATCTGCTAAAATTGGGTAGAATTAATAAAAGAGAAAGCAAGAGATTTTACTTTAAGAGTCTGGACTGAAAAGCCACCAGATTTCTAGTACTTGTCTTCCCTTCTTCATCTGTTGCTACCCCTCCTCCCATTATAGTAGGAAAATAAGTTGCTGGTGAGGTTTAGTTGAGGATTCCCTACCCCAGAAAGTGGCCCTGGTAAGTGTAGCAATTGCACAAAATGCTCCGGCAGCAGAGAGAAGGGGCCCTGAAGTCTGCTCCTGAAGTGCCTGGGGAAGGTGTTGTAGAGGAGATGTCCCTTGAGCTCAGTCCTAAAGGGCCAGGAGTAGTTTCTGAGCAAAGTGGGGGTAAAGGGGTGGGGATTCCAGTGGAGAAAGAAGCATGCACCAAGTTAGTGAGAAATTAAAGACCATAGATTTTTCAAAGGACAGTGATAGGGCTAGAGTGCAAATTGGGAAGGAGGTTGTCAGCACTGGCCAGATGTGTGTCGCCAGGAGCCAGATGACGAAGAGCACTGCATATTCTGCTAAGGAGGGTGGTGGTTCTCCTCTAGCCAAGAAGAGATCTTGGATGTTCTGAACAAGCAAATGGCAAGGATGGGATTGCATTTTGGAAAGAGCATATTGGCAGCAGTTAGGTAAAGAATGGGTTAGAGGAGGGAGGCAAGACTGGAGATAGGGAAACCAATTAGGAGTATAAGGAATATCAGGAAAGACAGATGAGGGAACAACAGGGAAGGACGGACGGGAGTAGGAGGCGAAGGGGAGGGTGATGTTAAGATTTCTGGCTGGCATGGGTGATGGGTTGGGTTTGCTGATGAGGGGAATGTGGGAGAGATGGAGGTGAGGTGAGGAGGGGAGTGATAATAAGATCGTTTATTATGAACTTGTCTAACAGGTATGAGAGAAGCGGCTCTGAAAGACAGGGGTCAGGCCTGTAGAGGGACTGGGAAATCATCAGTAGATAAGTGGTGATTGAGGCATTGCTGAGTTTCTTTCCAGTAGATAAGTGGTAATGGAAGCATTTCGGAGTTTCTTTCCAGCCCTTAAATCCTGTGGTTCAGTGAATAACATAATCTCTTTGACAAATGCCCATTTCAAGAAGTCTAAAATTAGCAGTGGCCTGTGTGAAGTGATTTGGTGACACGATGCAGTTCCTCCTCCCGATTGTAATCAGTAAATAAGTTGTAATCCCAGCCTTGTGCTGACATCGAAAATCAATCAGAACAGAGTTATTGAGTGTCTTTGTATTAGATGCCCCAAGGGAGATTCATTTTTTTAAGATGAGAAATAATGTCCGTGAGTTTTCCATTCAAGATAGGGAGATAAGACAGGCAATGAAGGAGGTATGGAGCTGAGAGAAACTTCTCCCTAAGGTCAGGAAGTGTGGTTCTGTAGGAAGACAGTGAATTCAGCTTTTAGGCTTGATACGTTTGAGATTGTGGCAGAAGATCAAATGGAAATGATTAAGAATAAGAAATGTACTTGGAAAAAGGATGCTGGCTGGAGAGGAAGATTTGGGATCCATCCCGAGGACCGTCGTCATTGAAGTGGGCAGAGTGTGAGAAGGGTGTGGGCACGCCGCGGGTCCCAGGGAGAGCCCGAGCCTTGGCAGACCCACTTCCAGGCGAGGGCCAGGGCCAGGGCCAGCCGGCGTGGCACAGGTGGAGCAAGAACAATCCGGACACGGGAAGAGAGAGTTCAAGGAGCGGGCGTTCACCAGACTTAGAGGTCAAGGGTGACCGACTGGGAAATGAGCATCAGATTTAACAATGAGTCAGTCATTGGTGCCTTTTCTCAGAGGAGTTTCAGTGGGATAAAGACTTAGGAAGTGAGATCACAGGTCTACGAAGGAGGAGGGAGAGCAGCAGCAGCAGTAATAATAATAATAGGTGATGGGTATTGGATTCTTCCTATACCGACGTCAGGCAGTCTTGGGAGCACTTGGTGTGTGTTATTTTGTTTAATCCTCACAGTAATCATAGGAACATACCATTATTATCATCATTATTATCATTACTAGGACTACTATTATTTCTGTATTACATATAAGCTGTATTAGGAAATCAAGGCAATGAGTGTAGACAATTCTTTTGAGACATTTCTCAGTGATAGAGGGAGTGGAAAAGCACTGTAGGTAACGACATGATCCTTGATGCCTTTCTAAGCAGTTTTAACATTTTTGAAGGCAGTAAGGGGACGAGGCTGGGAGGGATAGTTAAAGATGCTGGAGAAGGATGAGCCCATGGAACCAGGGACAGAAGAGGCTGCTTGGGTTGGGAGGGGGGAGCAACACTGAAAGGAGAAGGGACACAGTGTTATTTGAGTTGAGAAAATTAAGAAAACTTTGATTTTGCAATTCCAAATTATGAGCTCGAGAGTCTCTGAACTTATGCTTGATAATGTCAGTATTGGAAAATTAGGAAGGGAAGTGAGATAGCTGCCAAAAATCATTGTCAGTATTTTCTTTTTCTTTTAGAAAATTTCTTCAACTCAGCTTTAAAAAGTTTTAAAGAGAAAACACTCAGTTTTATTCATATTAACTCCCCCTGAGCTAAATTCTGCCAAGTGAAGTTTAGCTTGTCATTTTCCTTATCATTTATTATTTCTTTTTCATTTGTTATCTGATTTCATTATTTGAACATAAAGTAGACTCTTCTCATATACAAGGGTACTTCAGGAAGTTCGTGGGAAAATAGAACTGAAAGATACTACAGATCTTTCCATGAACTTTTTGAAGTGCCCTTGTTTTTGGAGGCTGCAATTGCATTTTTTTCATTGTTTCTCCGGAAACCTATATTTGGGGGCTAAGTTCAGAGGCAGAGAGGGCAGAGCGCCTGGCAAATGGAATTTGCGATGTGGCAGTAAACGAGGAGAATGGGAAGAAAAAGTGGTGAAGAAAATTAGTACCCGTGAGGAAAAGGAAGAAGAACCGTGTCTAAAAGGCTGTGCAACTTCACGATTGAGGCATCACTTTTATGAGAACATTTTTATTAACAGAAAAGAAGGCACAGGGCCAGTATCTATCAAGTTTACAGAAAACAAAATGAATTGCAAGTTGTATAATCAGATGGATCAGCATTCACATTTATGACCGTGAGTGGCTATCACTTGGTAACATGACATCTTTTCTCATGAATGGCCAGCTACCCTGCTGAATTCACCAGATTCCCCCTTGACATCCCAAAATGCTGTGTATAATAGATCAAGGTTACCCACAAGGTCAAGTAAACCTCTGCTTCTTTCCGCCCATTATTAGCATTTCCTGCCACCAAAAAAGGTGATAATATTTTCGCATATTTCTCCTGTAGGAATATGACTGTCCTTGGAAATAAAGAGTTGAAAACATGTAGGAAATACTGACTGTGCAATTGCAGCAGTCATTTCAGTTTGAAAACATTTCCTGAGGAAAAGTAAATGTTTTCTCATACAACCTGACATGTTGGCTGTTAAACCATTTTCATCAAAACATTTTATTTATACGTAAAATGTTTTAAAACTTCTTTCTGTGTAAACATGATCATCTCATACTAATCAAAGTGTGTTGGATGCCTTTGTTTATCCATTCATAGCTGGTGTATGTCAGCCTGTGTTTGTTTTGTGTCTGATGTTAAATGTCTTTTTTGCAGATATTGATGAATGTGTAAACAACACTATTTGTGACAGTCACGGGTTTTGTGACAATACAGCTGGCTCCTTCCGCTGCCTCTGTTATCAGGGCTTTCAAGCCCCACAGGATGGGCAAGGGTGTGTGGGTGAGTTTTTAGACTTTTTTCCCAACATGTTTCTCATGTCCCGGTTGAGAAGAAGTCAAAGTTTTCAACAGTAGGAGATTTTAAGCAGGTAATTTGGGTAGAATTTTGTCATAATTTGACTGTCATTCAATTTGAGGATGTACAGAAATTTCCTAGGGCTTCTGAAATGGTTAGGGACATTAAGAAATATAGAAGTATGACTTTAAATTTAAATATATTTTTAAATGAACATCTGTTTAAACTCTTAGCTGAGTATGCAGAATTCTGTAGTCCCTCCTGCACAGGAAATAGAGTCTGGTGTGTGGTATAGCTTGTCTGTCTTCGAAATGCACCTCCTTAGGCACTGCATTTAAGGAAAAGCGTTGGCAAGAGCTTCAGTCTCCAGGAATGTCACTCGTAAAGTGATGCTTTGGATTGTACAACTATATTTCTTCAGACCATCCTGGGATTGACAGGGCTGGAAGGAATCTTGAATATCATTCGATATCCTAGAATATGGTCTACCACACGGTCATAGAGAAGATATTTTGTGTTCATTTCTGATCAGCTGTGATTTCTTCAAATCATATTCATTGTGAAACACATTTGCAATTAGAGCAATTAAGTGTGAAAGAGAAGAAAGCTTATAAAATTTAAAACTTCACACATAACAAGGCTTTTTAAAAATTCTTCATTAGGGGGCCAGCTCTGTGGCTCACTCAGGAAGAGTGTGGCGCTCGTAGTGCCAAGGCTGCGGGTTTGGATCCTATATAGGGATGGCCGGTGTGCTCACTGGCTGAGCGTGGTGCAGACGACACCGAGCCAAGGGTTGCGATCCCCTTACCAGTCCAAAAAAAAAAAATTCTTCATTAGGGAAAAATAGCTATATTCACTACATGGCAGATGGCACTTGAAGAGGAGTCAATAAATTTTCAGTTTGAAAATTTGCAATGAAAGCATTATTTTGCCATCCAGATTAAACTGGGAAAGCAAAATCTATTCAGAGGTTTAATGATAATATCACTTGAGTGTTAATTGCTTTTATGGGATTAGTTATGAAATTCAGTTAATTCCCAATCACAAAAATTGTTTACAAAGCAGCAGTAGAGTTTTGAACATAAGCCTCAGCTAGTCAAAAACATATATAATTATTCAAGAATTACGCAGAAGACATGGTTATTTAATAATACATCTAAGACTATCCTAATCTCTAGTTCCAAGTCCTGCTTTAGTCTCCTTCCCACGAAAAGACAAGTGACAAAAATTGTCTGGCATTCACTTAATATTTTGACTAAATGGATCATGTGATTTAGCCCCTATTTATCTTCTTAACTTCACTACTTTCCGTCCTCACCTTTTTACCTTCCAGCAACATTAGAGTGCTCGTGGTTGCTCATGTCACTGTGCAATTATTTGGCCATCCTTTGCGCCCTCTGCTGGGAATGTCCTCCCAACCTCCCCTTCCCTGAGCCTGGCTTCAATCCACTCATTCTTGAAGACTGAAGTTAGGTGTCCTCTCCTCCCAGACACCACCCCTGCTCCATCTCTCACTCTCAAGCTGAGCTGGGACCCCCTCCTCCTGCTTCCAGAACANAAGTGGTAATGGAAGCATTTCGGAGTTTCTTTCCAGCCCTTAAATCCTGTGGTTCAGTGAATAACATAATCTCTTTGACAAATGCCCATTTCAAGAAGTCTAAAATTAGCAGTGGCCTGTGTGAAGTGATTTGGTGACACGATGCAGTTCCTCCTCCCGATTGTAATCAGTAAATAAGTTGTAATCCCAGCCTTGTGCTGACATCGAAAATCAATCAGAACAGAGTTATTGAGTGTCTTTGTATTAGATGCCCCAAGGGAGATTCATTTTTTTAAGATGAGAAATAATGTCCGTGAGTTTTCCATTCAAGATAGGGAGATAAGACAGGCAATGAAGGAGGGATGGAGCTGAGAGAAACTTCTCCCTAAGGTCAGGAAGTGTGGTTCTGTAGGAAGACAGTGGGAGAAATAATGTCCGTGAGTTTTCCATTCAAGATAGGGAGATAAGACAGGCAATGAAGGAGGTATGGAGCTGAGAGAAACTTCTCCCTAAGGTCAGGAAGTGTGGTTCTGTAGGAAGACAGTGGATTCAGCTTTTAGGCTTGATACGTTTGAGATTGTGGCAGAAGATCAAATGGAAATGATTAAGAATAAGAAATGTACTTGGAAAAAGGATGCTGGCTGGAGAGGAAGATTTGGGATCCATCCCGAGGACCGTCGTCATTGAAGTGGGCAGAGTGTGAGAAGGGTGTGGGCACGCCGCGGGTCCCAGGGAGAGCCCGAGCCTTGGCAGACCCACTTCCAGGCGAGGGCCAGGGCCAGGGCCAGCCGGCGTGGCACAGGTGGAGCAAGAACAATCCGGACACGGGAAGAGAGAGTTCAAGGAGCGGGCGTTCACCAGACTTAGAGGTCAAGGGTGACCGACTGGGAAATGAGCATCAGATTTAACAATGAGTCAGTCATTGGTGCCTTTTCTCAGAGGAGTTTCAGTGGGATAAAGACTTAGGAAGTGAGATCACAGGTCTACGAAGGAGGAGGGAGAGCAGCAGCAGCAGTAATAATAATAATAGGTGATGGGTATTGGATTCTTCCTATACCGACGTCAGGCAGTCTTGGGAGCACTTGGTGTGTGTTATTTTGTTTAATCCTCACAGTAATCATAGGAACATACCATTATTATCATCATTATTATCATTACTAGGACTACTATTATTTCTGTATTACATATAAGCTGTATTAGGAAATCAAGGCAATGAGTGTAGACAATTCTTTTGAGACATTTCTCAGTGATAGAGGGAGTGGAAAAGCACTGTAGGTAACGACATGATCCTTGATGCCTTTCTAAGCAGTTTTAACATTTTTGAAGGCAGTAAGGGGACGAGGCTGGGAGGGATAGTTAAAGATGCTGGAGAAGGATGAGCCCATGGAACCAGGGACAGAAGAGGCTGCTTGGGTTGGGAGGGGGGAGCAACACTGAAAGGAGAAGGGACACAGTGTTATTTGAGTTGAGAAAATTAAGAAAACTTTGATTTTGCAATTCCAAATTATGAGCTCGAGAGTCTCTGAACTTATGCTTGATAATGTCAGTATTGGAAAATTAGGAAGGGAAGTGAGATAGCTGCCAAAAATCATTGTCAGTATTTTCTTTTTCTTTTAGAAAATTTCTTCAACTCAGCTTTAAAAAGTTTTAAAGAGAAAACACTCAGTTTTATTCATATTAACTCCCCCTGAGCTAAATTCTGCCAAGTGAAGTTTAGCTTGTCATTTTCCTTATCATTTATTATTTCTTTTTCATTTGTTATCTGATTTCATTATTTGAACATAAAGTAGACTCTTCTCATATACAAGGGTACTTCAGGAAGTTCGTGGGAAAATAGAACTGAAAGATACTACAGATCTTTCCATGAACTTTTTGAAGTGCCCTTGTTTTTGGAGGCTGCAATTGCATTTTTTTCATTGTTTCTCCGGAAACCTATATTTGGGGGCTAAGTTCAGAGGCAGAGAGGGCAGAGCGCCTGGCAAATGGAATTTGCGATGTGGCAGTAAACGAGGAGAATGGGAAGAAAAAGTGGTGAAGAAAATTAGTACCCGTGAGGAAAAGGAAGAAGAACCGTGTCTAAAAGGCTGTGCAACTTCACGATTGAGGCATCACTTTTATGAGAACATTTTTATTAACAGAAAAGAAGGCACAGGGCCAGTATCTATCAAGTTTACAGAAAACAAAATGAATTGCAAGTTGTATAATCAGATGGATCAGCATTCACATTTATGACCGTGAGTGGCTATCACTTGGTAACATGACATCTTTTCTCATGAATGGCCAGCTACCCTGCTGAATTCACCAGATTCCCCCTTGACATCCCAAAATGCTGTGTATAATAGATCAAGGTTACCCACAAGGTCAAGTAAACCTCTGCTTCTTTCCGCCCATTATTAGCATTTCCTGCCACCAAAAAAGGTGATAATATTTTCGCATATTTCTCCTGTAGGAATATGACTGTCCTTGGAAATAAAGAGTTGAAAACATGTAGGAAATACTGACTGTGCAATTGCAGCAGTCATTTCAGTTTGAAAACATTTCCTGAGGAAAAGTAAATGTTTTCTCATACAACCTGACATGTTGGCTGTTAAACCATTTTCATCAAAACATTTTATTTATACGTAAAATGTTTTAAAACTTCTTTCTGTGTAAACATGATCATCTCATACTAATCAAAGTGTGTTGGATGCCTTTGTTTATCCATTCATAGCTGGTGTATGTCAGCCTGTGTTTGTTTTGTGTCTGATGTTAAATGTCTTTTTTGCAGATATTGATGAATGTGTAAACAACACTATTTGTGACAGTCACGGGTTTTGTGACAATACAGCTGGCTCCTTCCGCTGCCTCTGTTATCAGGGCTTTCAAGCCCCACAGGATGGGCAAGGGTGTGTGGGTGAGTTTTTAGACTTTTTTCCCAACATGTTTCTCATGTCCCGGTTGAGAAGAAGTCAAAGTTTTCAACAGTAGGAGATTTTAAGCAGGTAATTTGGGTAGAATTTTGTCATAATTTGACTGTCATTCAATTTGAGGATGTACAGAAATTTCCTAGGGCTTCTGAAATGGTTAGGGACATTAAGAAATATAGAAGTATGACTTTAAATTTAAATATATTTTTAAATGAACATCTGTTTAAACTCTTAGCTGAGTATGCAGAATTCTGTAGTCCCTCCTGCACAGGAAATAGAGTCTGGTGTGTGGTATAGCTTGTCTGTCTTCGAAATGCACCTCCTTAGGCACTGCATTTAAGGAAAAGCGTTGGCAAGAGCTTCAGTCTCCAGGAATGTCACTCGTAAAGTGATGCTTTGGATTGTACAACTATATTTCTTCAGACCATCCTGGGATTGACAGGGCTGGAAGGAATCTTGAATATCATTCGATATCCTAGAATATGGTCTACCACACGGTCATAGAGAAGATATTTTGTGTTCATTTCTGATCAGCTGTGATTTCTTCAAATCATATTCATTGTGAAACACATTTGCAATTAGAGCAATTAAGTGTGAAAGAGAAGAAAGCTTATAAAATTTAAAACTTCACACATAACAAGGCTTTTTAAAAATTCTTCATTAGGCGGCCAGCTCTGTGGCTCACTCAGGAAGAGTGTGGCGCTCGTAGTAGAAAGCTTATAAAATTTAAAACTTCACACATAACAAGGCTTTTTAAAAATTCTTCATTAGGGGGCCAGCTCTGTGGCTCACTCAGGAAGAGTGTGGCGCTCGTAGTGCCAAGGCTGCGGGTTTGGATCCTATATAGGGATGGCCGGTGTGCTCACTGGCTGAGCGTGGTGCAGACGACACCGAGCCAAGGGTTGCGATCCCCTTACCAGTCCAAAAAAAAAAAATTCTTCATTAGGGAAAAATAGCTATATTCACTACATGGCAGATGGCACTTGAAGAGGAGTCAATAAATTTTCAGTTTGAAAATTTGCAATGAAAGCATTATTTTGCCATCCAGATTAAACTGGGAAAGCAAAATCTATTCAGAGGTTTAATGATAATATCACTTGAGTGTTAATTGCTTTTATGGGATTAGTTATGAAATTCAGTTAATTCCCAATCACAAAAATTGTTTACAAAGCAGCAGTAGAGTTTTGAACATAAGCCTCAGCTAGTCAAAAACATATATAATTATTCAAGAATTACGCAGAAGACATGGTTATTTAATAATACATCTAAGACTATCCTAATCTCTAGTTCCAAGTCCTGCTTTAGTCTCCTTCCCACGAAAAGACAAGTGACAAAAATTGTCTGGCATTCACTTAATATTTTGACTAAATGGATCATGTGATTTAGCCCCTATTTATCTTCTTAACTTCACTACTTTCCGTCCTCACCTTTTTACCTTCCAGCAACATTAGAGTGCTCGTGGTTGCTCATGTCACTGTGCAATTATTTGGCCATCCTTTGCGCCCTCTGCTGGGAATGTCCTCCCAACCTCCCCTTCCCTGAGCCTGGCTTCAATCCACTCATTCTTGAAGACTGAAATTAGGTGTCCTCTCCTCCCAGACACCGCCCCTGCTCCATCTCTCACTCTCAAGCTGAGCTGGGACCCCCTCCTCCTGCTTCCAGAACACCTTCAACAAATTCTGTGATAGCACTTACAACCTTCTTGGGGATAATTTAATCCTTTGTGTAGTGCCTACCAGCTCCATGTGGTTGAAATTTTTCTCTCTCTCTTCCTGGGCTGGGTACAATGTTTGGCCTATTGTAGGTGCTCAGTAAATTTTGTTTTACTATTAATTGTTGAGATATCAGTTGTTGAACCACTGACTCCACATAGCTCGTGAGCATCTGCTTAGTGTTGATTTCTGACCAGCCCAGTGAGTGCGCCATGTTGACATTTCAGTTTGGCACACAAAACACCACCTTTAGAGAAGGAATGTTTATCGTTTTGGTGAACCTAGCAAATGTCATTTTGTGTCATATCAGTTGTTGAACCACTGACTCCACATAGCTCGTGAGCATCTGCTTAGTGTTGATTTCTAACCAGCCCAGTGAGCGCGCCATGTTGACATTTCAGTTTGGCACACAAAACACCACCTTTAGAGAAGGAATGTTTATCGTTTTGGTGAACCTAACAAATGTCATTTTGTGTTTTTATTCATTCTTTCAAAAGTATTAACTGAGCACCTGTTATATGCACATCACCACATGGGATGATGTGTTGAATTTCTAAGAGGAGTCAGCCCCTACCCCCCAATTGTCACCCATTCACTGTTCAGATCTTGGCTCAAATATCATTTCCCTCACCCACCTCTGCACTTACGGTCCTCTGTTCCTTGCTTTGTACTTTTCATTCCTAGCACTCACTGAAGCCTGTAAGATTCTCTTATGACTTTCCCTGACTTGACTCTAAGCTCCACCCAATTGTCACCCATTCACTGTTCAGATCTTGGCTCAAATATCATTTCCCTCACCCACCTCTGCACTTACGGTCCTCTGTTCCTTGCTTTCATGAGCTTTGTACTTTTCATTCCTAGCACTCACTGAAGCCTGTAAGATTCTCTTATGACTTTCCCTGACTTGACTCTAAGCTCCGTGAAGGCAGACGTTGGGGCAGCCTGGCTCATCGTTGTTTCCCCGCATACGGGCTGTATGGACCAGACCCACAGAAGTGAGCTAGAAGTATTTCTTGATTAAGTGAATGCAGTGTAGTGGGTTAGATTTTAAGAGCCAGGTAGGTAAAACAAGTTAGAAAGTATAAAGTTTCATTTGACATTTACCTAGAATTGATATATGTGGACTGGCAAATTTCTAAAGGTTTTCTGGTCTAAATTATGACCGTCTAGGTTGATTAAATATTCCAACTCTGGTTTACTTTACGTTACAATATCTTTTCACAGTGAAACCCAACCTATTGAAGTTATATCTGTTTATATACAAAGTGAAATGGGAAACTGAGGTAATATGTCAAGATACACAAACTTTCTGTCCAATGAACTGGTTGTAGCAGGCGATAAAAGGGTTTTTTTCCTGAATGACTTGTATAATTTCTATCATTTTTAACTTTGTATAAACACACATCTCA